AGATTTAAAAGTTCCCTTGCAGCCCCCGGGGTAATCCCACTCCTCTGATGGTCAGGACTTGACTTCACACCTATGTTCAAAAACGCTCCAGCCACAGACATGCTCATGATTGCAGGGATCCCAAGCTGCCAAGGAAGTAAGGTTGCCAAGCCTCCAGGACTGGTCTGGAGCAGGGGTGGGCAAACTATGGCCCGCGGGCCGGAGCTCGAGCTCGAGCTCGAGCTGGGGTGCTGGGTCAGGGGCTGCACCACACAGCTCCCGGAAGCCGTGGCATAGCCCTGCTCCAAGGGTCAGGAGCCACTCCATTCGTAGGAGCCGGAGAAGGGACATGCCACTGCTTCCGGGAGCCGCTTGAGGTAAGCACTGCTCGCAGCCTGCACCCCTGAGCCTCTCCCCACCCCAAGCCCCTGCCCCAGCCCTGATCCCACTCCTGCTCTCCAAACCCCTCGCTCCCAGCACAGAGCACCCTCCTGCACCCCAAACTCCCCAGCTCCACCACAGATCACACCCCCACAGCTGGAACCTTCACCCCTTCCCGCACCCCTGCCCCAGCTCTGATCCATCTCCTGCTCTCCAAACCCTCGCTCCCAGCACAGAGCACCCTCCTGCACCCCAAACCTCTCATCCCCAGCCCCACGCCAGAGCCTGCACCCCCAGCTAGAACCTTCACCCCTTCGCCAGCTCTGATCCCCCTCCCGCCCTCCAAACCCCTTGGTCCCAGCCCAGAGCACTCTCCTACACCCCAAACTCCCCAGCCCCAGCCCTACCACAGATCACACCCCCACAGCTGAAACCTTCACCCCTTCCCGCACCCCTGCCCCAGCTCTGATCCACCTCCCGCCCTCCGAACCCCTTGGTCCCAGCCCAGAGCACCCTCCTACACCGTAAACTCCTCATCCCCAACCCTACCCCAGAGCCCGCACCCCCTCCTGCACCCAACCCCAATTTTGTGAGCATTCATGGCCCACCTTACAATTTCTATTCCCCAACATGGCCATCACGCCAAAAAGTTTGCCCACCCCTAGTCTGGAGTCTCCAGGAATGTCATGTGGGGAAATCTCCAGGAATACAGCCAACCAATATTGGCAACCCTACAAGGAAGGCCGGTCTATTGGGGGGAGAGGAAGGGCAGGTCCATCTGACTTGGAGGCAGGACTGAGTGGGGAAGGGGCATGAGTGAAGGCTGAGCTAGATCTGACTGAGAGAGGGGCAGGACTGACTGATTAGGGGAGGGCAAGAATGGTTGGTGGGGGTAGATTTCAATGACTATGGGGCAGAACAAAACTGACTGGAGGATGAGGTAGGGCAGGGGCTAGAGTGAATGATGGGGTGGATCTCACTGACTATGGGGCAGGACTGACTGGGCAGGGGGAGGAACGAATGATACAGCGGTCTCACTGAGGGAACAGAAGGGGTCTGACAAGGGGCAGGACTCACTGGGGGGGGCAGGAGCGAATGATGAGGAGTCGATCTGACAGACTGGGGGCAGGATTGAGGGATAGGGTTGCTAACCCTTCCGGTTTTGCCAGGAGTCTCCCGGAATCGGGCTCAATCTCCCGGAGGCTACTAAAGCCGATCTGGGAGATTTTAGCCGCTAGAGGTCCAGCGGCACAGCAGGAGTGAGGCAAGTTCCCTGCCTTCCCTGGCCCCGCGCTGCTCCCAGAAGTGGGCAGCACATCTCTGCGGCCCCTGAGGGGGGTGGAGGCAGGGGTCTCCGCTCGCTGCCTGCACCTTGAGTGCCGACGCCGCAGCTCGCACTGTCTGGGAACTGTGGCCAACGGGAGCTGCAGGGATTGTGCCTGCAGGCAGGGGCAGCACATGGAGGCCCCCAAGGCTGCCACAGGTACTGGCCGCTTCCGGGAGCAGCACGTGGAGCCCCCTGACCTCGCTTACCTCCAGTGGCTCCCAGTCAGCGGCGCAGCAGGCCTAAGGCTGGCTCTGCCCCTGCAGCTCCCACTGGCCGCACTTCCTGCCCGGGCAGCGAGCGGAGACCCCTGCCTCCCCCCCGCCCAGGGGCCGGACAGGCCGGCCACTTCTGGGAGCAGCGCGGGGCCAGGGCAGGCAGGAAGCCTGCCTTAGCCCCACTGGTCCACCAATCAGGAACCACCCGCGGTAAGTGCCGCCCGACCAGAGCCCACACACCACACCCCCTCCTGTACCCCAGCCTAGAGCCCCCTGCAGCATCCAAACTCCCGCCCAGACTTTCATCTGCACCTCAACCCCCTGCCAGAGCCCTGTAAGTGAGTGAGGGTGGGGGAGATCAAGCAACGGAGGGAGAGGGGCTGGAGGGAGAGGGGCTGGGCCTTAGAGAAGGGGGGGCAGGGAAGGGGAAGGGCAGGGAGTAGGGCACAGGTGTTTGGGTTTGTGTGTTTAGACAGCTGGCAGTGGCAACCCTATGGTGGGGAGGGAGAGGGGCAGGAGTGACTGATGGGGAGGTGGATCTCACTGACTGGGTGGGGGCAGGAGGGGTCTGCCATTGGGCAGGACTGACTGGAGGGGGGAGAGGAAGGAACAAATGATGAGGCGGGTCTGACGTGGGGCAGGACAGAGTGGAGGGGAGACAGGAGCGAATGAGGGGGGGGGGTGGATCTGACTGACGGGGGGCAGGACAGAGTGGGGGAGGGGCAGGAGGGAATGGGGGGTGGATCTGACTGACGGGGGCAGGAGGGGTCCGACATGGGGTAGGACTGAGTGGGGGAGGGGCATGTCTGACGGACCCCCCGGCGGTTGGGGCCGGATAACGGACGAAACAGCAGAACCAACGGCCCGGTAGGACCCCGTGGCAGAGAAACAGGGACCCTCTAACCTTCAAATTCCCTCCTTCCCCATCGCCCCGTGTGACCCACCCGGCCTCCGCATGTGATTGGTTACCGACCCCTCTCTCCTCCAATCACGGCGGCGAAGGCGGGGAGGCGCCTGACCCGGCCCACGGCCTGAGCCCGCCCACCGAGGTGGAGGGACCAATGGCAGGGAGCGGCGCCCCCCTCCTTTCCTGCCGTCGCCATGGTGCCGCGCCGGCAGCGTCACGGTGAGTGGACAGTTGGTCGCGGGCACTGGACGCGCCGAAGGGGGCGCTGCGCGGCGGCCTATCGGCCCTGCGGGGAGTGGTACATCCCGTGGGCCCCCTCCTCCCGCACGCAGTGGTAGAGCCGCAGAGGAGGCTAGCGAAGCGGCAGGCGCCGAAGCCCGGGGGCGCTCACCCCGTCTCGTGCGCGCGCCCTGCCCCCCAGGCGGCGGATCGAGCGCGAGCGCCGCCCTGCGGCCTTTCCCGCCCACTGGGCCCTGAGGCGCTCGACGTGTTGCTCCCCCCCCTGTATCGCTGTGCTGGGCGTGGGCGCTCTCTTCTCAGAGCACTGCCTGGGGCCTTGCAGACCGGGGCCCAGGAGTCAGTGACTGGGCGGGGAGGCGCCCGAGGCGCTGGCACCAGCTTCCTGGCCGTTGGCAGGGGCACCCCCAACGCCGCCAGTAGCTCATGGTTATTACTGGGGCGGGGGGGGGGTGATTTGGCCTGTTTTTCCCCCCTCTCCGGTGTCCACTCGCGAAGTTCAAGGTGGATGCGCTTGGTGTCCTTCAGGAGGACAGCCGAAAACACAGAGCCCTAGTGGGACTTCTGTAGGGGGCAGCTCCAGTCAGGCCAATTCTGCAACGGCTTCAGGGTGGCCATGTGGGAGGGCGACAGCTCCCTGCCCCCCCAGCTACACCCATGGTAAAACACGTGTCTATGGGGTGACTCCCATTTATCCCATTATCTGAATCCCTTGTCACCTATGAGCTCACGTTAGGGGGGGGTCACATAATACAGAGGCCTGAATAACAGAGCAGAGGACACACACACACACACACACACACACCCTGGCCAGGCTTGTGTGGTGGAGGACAGGCCCTTGGCGTGTCCCCGCTGAACGGCTCTTTTTCTCTAGTTGTCTGAATAAAATCCGCGTTGCCCATGCTATGTGGATAAATGGCCGTATACTGTGTGCGTGCACATTTGGGGGATTGCTCGCATCCTATTCTAGCTGGTTGAGAGCCGGGATATTTTTATTTCCCCAGATAGCTGTTGCGGACAGTTGTGTTCATCACTTTGTGTATCCCTAGTAGCTTTCATTCTGCTGGACCCCAAAGCACTTTAGAGTAATGCAGACTCCTTTGAGGTGAAGCTTGTTAGACAACTGACCACAGAAAAGGGTAAACTTTTATTATGTGGAGGAAAAAATGTTATAGGGTCTTTAAGCTCCATGCAGCGCAGACAGTATGGATGTTGTTTTTTGGTGTCTCATTATAACCCCCACAATAAGATTTAGATTCCACCATTTGTGTAATTCTTCAACCTCTGATTTATACAGCCGCAGGACTGTGCTGTTTTCACTCCATTTTTAGATAACATAGTAAATAACATTTATATAAGATGAATTACCATAATTCAACTGTTTTAAATTATCTATATGTTTAAATAGGGACGTGTCTTTTTTCCAGTGTCTCTAAACTTTTCTCATGGCTAATCTAAATGTTCTTTGTATATGCACAGTTTCCATGAGCATTTTTCTATAATAGAGGCATGTAAATACACATTCAGTTTGCATAGCTGAAAACCAAACCCTTGTGCTGCCATTCTCCAGTACGTAAAATGGGTTTAATGAGATTCAAGAGGAGATGTAATCATGAGTTAGTAATGTGTATATACAGTGTTTTGAACAAGTAAAGTATCCAGTAGTATTGTTGTCTATATAGTGTTTTATTGAACCCAGCTCCAATTTCACTTTTTTTTTTTTAAGGTGCTTAGTCAGGTAGGAAGGTGCCCTGCATGCAATTAGGTCTGTCTAATATGCAACATTCTTCAATACTTAAAAGATAAGTATTCATGTATATCTTTGGAGGAATAATTTTAACTTTACTTTGTTTTCTTTAATAGAGTAAAGTTGGCAGTTAGTTAAGAAATCAAAGATGGCATCCTACTTAGCACAAGAAGTTCAGCTTGCTAGACGACATGACAAGATGTAAGTATTTGTTTCAGGATTGTGGCCTATGTTGTAGCAACTTGCGCTATGATCGTCCCAAATCTCTCAAACTACACAGGACTGGCTGGTGAGTATGTGGATGGGAGACCTCCACGGAACATTTAGGTCTTGTAAAAAGAGGTTGGTGTTTTGATAGAGGACACTCTTCCTTTGAAAACTACTGAATCAGTATCCCAGCCTGCCACAAGGGAGATCAGTGCTGCCATTGCTGTTGTCTTCCAGATGAGCTGCAGAACTGGGGACCTGACCTTTAACCTCAGTATGCTGGCTAAATTCCAATTCAAGTAGCTTGGGTTCTGCCACCCAAAACTCAACTTGTGGTTTCAATTCAATATAGTATTTTCTTCACACTGACTTCTAAAATAGCAATACATCTTCAGTTCACTGTAAACTCAGCTTGTACAGTGAGTATCTTATTAAAATGAGTTAGAAAAGTTTGCCTACACTCTGACAACTAGTCAGTAAAAGTAATACACCCTGCTATTAGATTTGTTTAGGGTTAAGCTCTCAGGGTATGAGAACTATGAAAAAATAAATGTTGTGTGGGAAAATACGTTTTTATCTATATCAGGTCTACAGTAATATAAACATCATGTCCATTTACAAGTTGATTATAAAATTCTGACCTCTGGTGCCTGCCTTTTCATAAACACCTTGGATGTATGTTGTTTGATTAGCTCCTTTATATTTATCTTCCAGTTATTGCTGAACAGAATACGTAACAAATTAGTTAATTCTTCATTAGTATAGCACAGGACTGTTGCTGCAGACTGGGAAAACTGACAAAGAATAATTGTTCTGAAAATCATGGGTCACATTCACATCTAGTGTAAGTAAATGCAACTAGATCGAGTGAATTCCGTTCAGCTGTTTGCAGAATGGTTGCGTACTCTGTCTGCAACACAAGCAAAATTTTATGATCACGTGCATCTTATACCGCATCCATCATTTACTAACTTATGTGACAACAGAGTCTATCTAGATTAGCACTTGTGGGCAGGGTTGAGTTTTATAAGTTAGTTTAAAATGAGACATCTGAGAATCTAAGGCTCATGTAAGGATGGCTCACAAGTACCACCTGAGTGGAGGTGGCTGGGTCCATAGGACAAGAAGTATAATTGTCTCTGGGGACTCTGCAGGGAGCTCTTTGACTCTTGCTATGTTTCTTTCAGAAAATATATTACTCATTCTCCTCCCAGTGTTGGCTTCTGAGCACTTGCAGGGGTGGTGCCATGCCTATGCTCCCTCAACCCATCCTGCCATACCTCATCTGAGATACTCAGTGCTTGTGAGCCCCCTTCCTGCATGAGGACTGCTGATTGCAGCATTATGTCTGCCTCACTGCATGGGAACACAGTGGGAAGAGTCCGCCTGTACTTTCTTCCTCCCTCAGCACACCCACACTGAAACAGGCATAATTAGGTCTATAATTTCAAAAGAATTGGTTAAGGTAAAAGGTTATTCTTTTCTAGCTACTGTGCAAAATGTTCTGCCCCCTTATTAAAATATTTTCCTTTGTAGACTGTCTCAGAGATTGGTATTGCTACAGCAGATGGAGAATCATCTAGGAGACAAAAAGACTGAAAAGACATTGCAAACACAAGCAGCTGATGCAGCTTATAAAAGAAATGCAGCACTTTTAAATGTAAGTTTCTGTGACTGTCAAATGGCACATTGTGAAATCCAGTGTTACATAGATTACAGGCTAAAAACATTTGTGTCTTAGTTTTTCAGGTGAATTTTATAATATTAGGGTCTTGATTCTGGAACTTGTGCAAAATTTATTAAATAAGAAGTCTTTGTAACCTGGGACATCACTAGCTCTTCCTCACACCCTTCTCATGAGAGCCTGGTGGGGTCCCTAGTGGGATCTCAGAGTCTGGGCTCCAGCCTGAACCCGAACATCTATACTGCAATTTTATAGTCCTGCAGCCTGAGCACTGGGAGCCCAAGTCAGTTGACATGTGTTTTATTGCTGTGTAGACCTATCCCAAGTCAACTGTTTCTAAATGGCTGATTACTGAACCTTTCATTGCAGGCAGACTTACAATTCTAAGATCATGTTAAGACCCATTTGAAACAAGAGCAGTCTTTCCCTCTGCCATCTTCGTTCTGTTACTTTTTACAGATTCAGACTAACACGGCTACCCCTCTGATCATTGAACACTGTTGCTTAGATTCAGTCTCAAGTCCGGAGTTAAAATTTGATTGATAGACTAATAGGTGCTGACTCCGTGGGTGTTCTGGGGCTGGAGCACCCCCAGAAAAAAAAATAGTGGGTGCTCAGCCGCCCTGCCGATCAGCTCCTCCCTCCCATCCACTGGTGATCAGCTGTTCAGCAGGAGGCGGTGAGAGGGAGGAGTGGGGACAGGAAGAGGCAGAGTGAGGGTGGGGCACACTCGGGGGAGGGGGTGGGAAGAGGCAGGGGAGGTGTGGAGTGGGGTTGGGCTTTGGGAGAAGGGGTGGAGTGAGGGTGGGGCCTGGGGCATAACAGGGATTGAGCACTCCCCGTGGAAATGAGAAAGTCGGTGCCTCTGGATGACCAGAACATTTTTCCAGTTAGGAGCTTTTTATTTTTGAGATGTCTGATTTTTTTGGGTTGTTCAAAAGAAATCTTTTCATTTCCTCCTTTTTTTATGAAAAAGAGTATAAAACCTATTAAAATCACCTTTGTCCAACACACATGTATTTACTGTTATTGTTCAAGGTATATTCACCTTGTTTTTCTACTGGATGTTGCAGTAGCCTGTTCAGCGACATTGTGTCTTTGTTTTATAAAGGCATCCCTGGAACATTTTAGTCTCCAAGGGTGGGGATCCGTCACCTCTATCTTTGAAGAAGGAAAAATTACTTCACTTTAATTGCTGTGATTGGAACATGTTATGACAGATCACCTACTCATCCACTGCTCAACCCCAGACCCTGACCCCACTGCACCCCTTTCCGCCCCCTCCCCTGAGCCTGATGCACCCTTGCTCCTCCCCCCCTCCATCCCAGAGCCTCCTGTACCCTGTGAAACAGCTGATCACTGCAGGCAGAAGACACAGGGAGGAGGTGCTGATCGGCAGGGCTGCCAGTGGGCAGGAGATGCTGAAGGTGGTGGGGAGGGGGTGGGCTGATGGGGGCTGCTGACGTATTACTGTGGCTCTTTGGCAATGTACATTGGTAAATTCTGGCTCCTTCTGAGGCTCAGGTTGGCCACCCCTGCTGTATACTTTTAAATTCTGTATATATCTCGGCTTCTTCCTCAAGGGGAACTGGTAATTAGGTCAATAGAAGGCTCTTAGTTCGGTTGCAGGGACTGACATATGATACCCCCTGCTGGAACCAACAGCTTAGAATTTTGAACCTGAAGAGATCTCACCTTGACCTCTAACACAAGAGTACATTGTAAAGTGGGGGTCTGTTACTAAGTATATCTTCATAGAACAGCACTTAAAAGTAGGTTATTTCCTCCTTGCACATTCCCTTTCTTTTTGCTGTTGCTTATTATTTAATTCTACTAACTAATATGGCAAAATGTTTTGGACTCTCATTTGTATGAAAGATGCTGTACAAAATAAAATCATATTTTTATCTCATGTACAGCCAGAATGTCCTCCTGTGTCCACTGGGACAAAGGCTCAAATTTTTCATTCTAGAAAGTGAAAAGATTCATCTTTGTGGAAAAATTTCTGGCCAAGCTGTGTGTGCTGGAGCAAGACTTAACACATCTGCAGTTTGAGTGAAACTTAAGTCCCAAACAGAGACTGCACAACTGGGGACTGCAGGCAGAATTGCCAGTCAAAGGTGCCTGTGTACCTGATATGTGCTAACAACAGGATCTCCACACTGGTCCCATTTAAGGTCACATTGGGGATAGGATAGGGGCAGGATTGCAGGTCCAATGGCGCCAAAACCCTCTGGAACAGGTGTGGCTGCTATTCCAGCCTTGGTCTGAAACAACTGATGTGTAGATTTGGCCTCCCCAAGCCTTCTGCGCGCCACTCATCTAGAGCCTGAATACCTAGACTTTGTGAAGGTGTGGCAAATTTCACCCATTATATTTTCCCCCATAACTCTTCTCCATATGTGTTTTTATAAACAAGGTTCAAATTAGCACTTATTTGTTGACAAGCATAATAAATGCAGATTACATTTGTGCATACCAAAACATGCTCATTATGATAGTAAATGTTATTGATATCTTAATGTAAACCTATAGCAAAAATATGTAGTCTTGTAGTTATGCAGGATATTTGCCATCTACTATCATATTCCTCAAAATGATTTATTTCAAGTGTCAAAAACATTAGTGTTCATAGAAGAAATAAAAACATATGTATGACCATCAAAACAAATAGTCTGGCAGGATAAAGCAGCATAAATAAGTCTAGATATATTAATTTTATACTAGCTTTAACAGACATGCAGTACTGCAGATGCTTTCTGATAACAAAATAAAACAGGAAAGAGATCCATGCAGAATAATATATTAGAGCCTTGAAAAAACGGTTCATATTTATGTGCCAGCTTCAGAATATTGTTCCTGATACCAAGCACTGTACATTTCACAGTTACCATGTGGGGAGTTGTTGATTTGGCCTACTCAGAAATACACGGACATGATGAGGTGTTGATTTTTGCTTAAACTTAGAAAAAACAGAAATGCAAATAAAATTAATTCAGTTTTATGGGAACATAAAAAACCCGACGCTTTCCCTTTCTGCCAATTGAAATGTTATGCTCACAGAGCTCAAAAATGGCTGAAGCTAGAAACTTCAAACTTAGCTTGCTTTATAATCTTATTGAGTAAGAGAGGGAAATGAAATTTGAAGAAAATAGATTTTAAAGATTTAATTCAGCATTTTTATACAATTGTGTTAGAGTATGTTTTTCCGCCTAACATGTTTAAAGAAGGCGTTGTCAGGTTTAAGAATGTTCATTCAGGCCTTGGATTAAACACCTCACTTAGGTTCTGTATTTATTAAGTGCTGAGATTGCAGTAGTACTACTAAGTGTCTTCAGAGCTATGTTAAGTTGGCCATCTTGCACATATGTACATAAGAACAGCTATACTGAGTCAGACGAAAGGTCCATCTAGCCCAGTATCCTGTCTTCCGACAGCGGCCAATGCCAGGTGCCCCAGAGGGAATGAATAAAACAGGTAATCATCAAGTGATCCATCCCCTGTCACCCATGTATGCAGTATTTTCTGATCTCTTCCTTGTTATTCATAAATCTTAATGTATTACTGTGATATTTAGTGTATACCATAAAGTTTAGGATGTGTGATGTAACATAGTGGTCATTTTAGCAGAAAATTTGGGCCAAATTCTGATCTCGTATATGGTGGTGTAAGTCTGGATTATATGCGTGTAAATGACATCTGAATTTGGCCCCATAAAAGTGATGTATGTATCAGAATCTCCATTTTACCTCTGGGAAGGGACTTGAACTGTTTTTCTTGTAATCCTGGCCATTTTGTCCAAAGTGTTATGGGATAGCAGGGCTTTGGAGCTGTGCTCCAGCTCCAGGCAAAAACCTGCAGCTCCACTGCTCCGGAGCTGCTCCAGCTCCAGGCTCCACTCCAAAGCCCTGTAGGATAGACTAGTGCTTAATATTGTAGTATACTAGATTCTGTCTTACGTGCCAAAGGTGTTTGCACTGCTGACTTCAGATAAGTTGGAGAGAGTTAGAAAAGATAAATTCCCAACACCAGACTTTAAAAGATAAAAATGCCACAACAGGCACCTCCTAGTCACCAGCTACATGCAAAGGTGCCATCTAATCTTTCAGTGGCCTCAGTTTTTTTCCAAGCAAACATTTCTTTCACTGTCTGTCATTAAATCAGTTTTCTGAATGACAATAGATTGCAAATATACAAACTGGAGTGGAGCAACAAAAAGAGACATCTGATATCTAGGCCATGCCAATGTGACCTTCTCTACTAAAATGTGTACAACAGCTGTTTTCCCTAGGCTGAAAGTAATTTATTTCCTACTATCACAAACATTCCTGTATTAAAATTAAGTAGCCACAGAGATAGCGATCTTGGTCTGTTTTGCCCCCTCCTGTGTAAATACTTGTAGGAAGAAGTCATAGGGGGAGAAAAATGCTCTGAGGGGAATGTGGTGCATAAAAACCCAAATAGATAGGACTGAATGGAGACTGATCCACCTTTTTGCCATGACAGGTAATTCCTCCAAGCCATGGCAAAGGCATATTGGTGAAGTGTGGGGGAGCTTGCCTGGTGCTGTTAATAGTATAGCTGTTCTGTGTGCATGCACAGAGAACTTGACTTTGCAGTGTTGTCAAGCCATGGCTGCTGTGCAATTTTAATTTTAATTGAAAATCACTTTGTTTTGTCATTTTTTATTCTGAGTTCCAGAAAAGGAAGGAATCGGAAGGTGTTGTATTAAGTATTAAATGTGTTTATGCCTCAAATTCTTATGGTTTCAACTGTATCCAGGCCAATTCCAGAACAAAGAACAGAAATTGCATCCACAGAGTCCATAAAGTCGACAATTACTGTCATGATTTGTATTATTCACTGGGCATCATCTCTGGTGCTCAGCCCTGTTCAGAATATGCCAGAAAATGTAGTTCCTGAGCCAATGTGTATAAAATGTGTAGCCCTGGATAAGATGGCTCAGATATGAAGTGTATAGTTATTAAGCACATGTTAATATCTGTGAGTGAAGGTGCTGATGACAATAGAAGTTTTACTAGACTAAGGACTAGAAGATTTGACTCTCTAACTTTCTTTCTAGAGGAAGAGATGCCCAGAGCTGCTGTGCCTGTTTATTTTCCTTTCCTGCCTGCAGTAGCCCTGATATATCTCAGAAGTGTCCGTTTTTTTTTTCTCAACTTTAAAATATAGAATTTTCTTGCTGTTTGGTTTTAAATATTCTCCAGTGAGAATTGCAACTCGGTCACTGTAGTGTTGTGTTTAAGAACCTTCTAGAAAGTAACTAGCCTTTAAACAGAAGTAAAAGCAGTGTTGCCAAATCTCATGATTTTGTCATGAGTCTCAGGCTAATTGCTTTCCTTAAAGTCCCAGCTCCTGGAGTCAAGTGGATATGTGATGATTTCAGCCTTCATTCTGAAAGAAAAATGAAGTTTCTAGCCCTCGTGGCTGTGGAGAAAGCTTCAAAATACAACCCCAGTACATCCTAAAGGCTCAAAAAGCAAAAGGCAAATAAAAAGAACCCCAAAGCTGTTATTTTTACATAATCTCATGATTTTTGGTGAACCTGATTCATGATTTTTGAACATTGGGGGTTGGCAATAATACTATGAAAGTGACTGGAAGGTGTCAGTTTCATTCCTGTTTAAAGTCAGTTTCTAGTCTATTAGTAGTAGTGAGGTAACACTCCTAGAGCCCGTGGCAGATGCATTCTAAACTCATGGGGCCTTGCCCTACTAGGATGTTTCCCAAGTTAAATGATCTGTTTCAAGCTTGATGAACTGCAAAAAAGTGATAGAAAGTAATCTAGATTTTTCTACAGTTGTTTCAATTGGTGTATTCAAGGGTTAGTAACAAAGAATATACATTAGTTTTAAACCTAACCAGTGTCCCTTAAGAAGTGACTTGACACAAGATATGAGAACATGTTAGTATTAGAGCTGAGTGGGTCTAATATTTATTTAATCCTAATTTTTATATAGAAATTAGATATAGTGCTCCTATCAGCTAATTTCTAAATTATTATCTGAAAAAAAAAAAAACCTAGAGTTTTCAGGTGCCTAAGTAGCCCCTGGAATCACGGTTAAAGTTGCCCCCCCCCACCAAAATCTGAAATGGCGCCCCTGCGTCGTTTGTTCAATGTCCCTTTCTCACTCCCTCATTTCGACCCTATAATCTGCACCCCTATTCCTGTTTATTCGTTTTTTGTCCATTGTACTTAATTCTGGTCCTGTGGCCTCTCCTTCATGCGAAAAGGCAGCCTTCCATTACTGTGATGTCCTCCACCTGTCAATCCCAGGATATAAATAGGGTAGCACCTTATACCATCCTTCCGCAGAGATCAGTTAGCCACCTCAAAACAGCACTAGGTTCACTGATAAACTTTAAAAAGACCAAACAAAAAACTGCTTGGATGATATTTTCAATCTTATTCTTTTCTATCTGCATATAGTAAAATCACTATAAATATGCTATAAAACCAGTCCAAATATTAATACATTTTCATTCATTTTAAATAAAGATGAACATTATAACTTACTGGATTTTAGCTAAGAACTTTCAGCTAAGAACTATTAGTTTCTTTTAATCATGCTCTACACTAATTTTAGGCCAGATTCTGCAACCCTTACTCATGTTGAGTAGCACGTACACAAGTGTTCCAATTGGCTACTACTCAATATGAGTAATTGTGTTTGGGTTCTCCTGTAGACCTGCTCCTTCCGAATCTCACTGTTCTGAGCAGCAGTGGTGGTATATGTTTGGGAAGTCCCTTTGGGGAATTTCCTCACTCATTTATTTTTTATGTTGTACTCTTCACACCTGCTTTCTGCTCCCAACTCTGCCATCTGCTATGCTTCCCTCCCCACCCCCCTGTTCTGCTTTGGCTCCTTCACACCCATCTCCCACGCCCCTTTCCATCTCTTCATCTGCCCAAAAGCCCTGCACTCAATCTCTTCAGTGCTTGGCTGTGGAACTAAGCCCGCAAGAAAGGGTTACAATTTAAAAGAGTCTATTCAAATTGAGTCTAGGCCTCTGTGAACCCAACACATGTCTACTGGGCAAGTGGAAGCCCATGTGCAGATTTTATAAGAAAGCTAAGAGAGGTGTGTTCTCATCTGAGTTTGAATGTCTGGTGAACAGCTTGCTGCATCTCTATATTTTTGTGCACATGTTATGCATGCATATTAGCAAGTCATCTTTGTCTTGGGGAGACAAGATCTTGAACACAATTTGCTTAGTTACTTTAAAGCTACAGTAGATAGAATACATGCTTCGGTTCATCTACATAGTACAGTGAATACCAATCTCCTTTTTTTTTCTGTATTGTCAGGAGGAACATAGTCTAACTATAAATTACCTTTGTGTATGGAGATATTAAACGTGTAGTAGGTGCTGTCTATCAGAACGCTTCTGGCAAAGAAAACAATTCTTACAGCCAGGAAATGCAAGAAAGTTCAGCAAAGCCTCCAATATATTAGTGTTATTGTCAAAAGTAAGAGGCTGCAGGATCTATGGCTAAACAGAAGATTTCAGTTCCAGGGATATCAAATCCAGTGCTTTTTAGGAGAAATAAATTCACTTAAAAGGCAATTAAATATATATTGCCTGTTAATGTCACCTGTAACTTGTCAAACTGTTATTTTAAACAGGATATAGAAGCAGCAGAAAAGAGGCTGCAAGCAAGAATACATCTACAGCCACATCCTGATATTGTTAACCTTGAAGTAAGTCCTGAAATAAACTCCATCCTTTCATTTGCTATGAACAAAATAGTTCCCTTTTTTTCTGAAGCATATTCGTAAAGTAAAAATAATTGATTTTGAAATTGACTGGTATAGCCAAGGGCCTGTGTACTGTGCAGTAGGCTGAACCTAAATTCTGGGCTAAGGTCCCTAGATTCTGCAGTAGCCTGGGGGAAATTTTCTAGCAGATATAGATATTTTTTGACTGGAGCTTTTTATTTAATTAAATATGAAAATGAATAATTTAAGAGTCACAGCAGCCTTTATAGTGTTTTTCAATTTACCTTTTTCGTCCTTACATTTTCAGTTTTAAGTACACCACAGATTGTCATCTTTATGTTTCAGTCAACAGCCCATGAAGATGAATGGGGAAGTTCACACCTATCAGAGCTATTGTGTAAGGGTGGTTGGGAACATGTGAAGATATCACTGTAGCAGTCACAGTTAGTTCACATTTTCAAGATTTTCTTTCCAACCACAATAGCTTGAAGCATTTTTTTTTTAATTAAAATTGAGGTTCTGGAGCACAAGTCTGCAGAAAAGGGTGAATTCTGGCATGGTAAAATACATGGGGCCTGATTATAGTGAGTGCCATCATTCAATTAATATCCTGAAGTCCTGAGTGTTTAGTAGAAGAAAAAAATTGTATCAAACTATACTTTTAAAATGTCTATTGCAGTGACGGATGTGACCGCATGCTATTTAAATAGTCATATCACTTTAAAATAAATAGGGATGTGATGCATTCACTTTTTTGGATTTGTTGGGCACTAAATATGACCTATCTTCCCCTCATCCACCGAAATAAAAATCAGATGCAAAATATAAATTTAGGTACTGTATACTACAGTTACTCAGGAAATGAAGCTGTTTAAAGTGAATTGATTATATTAATGAACTATTAAATAGAATTAAAGTTTAAAATATATTTTAAGTTGCAACTTGCAAACAAAGTTAATGCTGGTAGCTGACAAATTACTTAAAAGTGAAGAAATGGAACTAAGCTATTTAAGCTGAGTCTGTAAGACTAAGGGCATGATCCTGCAAACACTTACGCACATGAGTAATTCCATGGAGTTCAGTAGGACTATGCATGTTCTAAAGTTAAGTGTTTGCAGGACCAGGCCTAAATTTATCCCTGAGATATACTTATTACATAACTCATAAATGTCTGTTTGTGTGCTGCAAATAGAGTTTTAGTCCTTAATAATTTAAAACAGTTGTCACTTATGCATGGATTGTACTATCTCAGCTCTGTTTTACCAGCATCTGTCTGTATTAGGCCTGAAGTCCCATACGCTAGAGAGTTTTGACATTTCCAGTACTGGTTCAATCACTATGAAGAATTACATACCATTAGATCAAATCTGGTAGCAATTACACAAAATAGTACAGATTAAAAAAATCTGGTGTAGACCTTTACAGTGTGGATAAAATGGACAAAAGTCAGATAATTCATAGTGATTATTGATAGAAACAGTGTTGACTTTTGCCTTCATCCTTCCCACCCAATTGTGAGAGTTACAGGAGAGTGGTGGTACTATTATAAGGGAAAATTTCACATATTTAGTCTCTTATATTTTTAAGGAACGGACACTAAATAGCATGAAAGGAAAAATATCTTTCATATACAAAATTGACTGTCCACATTCCTTCCAATAAAACTTTCAAAGGATATTTAACTCATGGCCTTAATACATATGTATATCAGCTGTGATTTTCACAGTTGATTATAATGGCTCCTTAACTTAGCAGTCCAAGTACATATTCATGTGATTGCACATAAAATTTCAAACAAGATCTATTGCGTAAATCCATATTTTATTTTATTAATGATGTATAGAAACTGTGCATATGAGTTACACATATAACCAAAATAGTTACCCAATAGTCCAGCACTTCCAAAGGAGCGATTGATGATGTATCACGTATGTGCACTAAAATATGTATTTAGGTAAATAAAAATTGATTTTTTTCTTTTTAAAAAAAGCCTAAATATATGTGTACAAAATCTATACAAATGTTTTGCTAAAAAAGCAATTTCCTGATAAATATATTGGCCCCTATTGAACAAAGCATTTAAGAGTGTGCTTAAAGTTAAGCACATTGTTTGCTAAATCTGGACCTTTGTCTCCAACTCTTAACTAAAGTATTTTTATGGCCTGTAGTATAATTTGTATGATTTCATCCATAAACATTCATGATTTATCCATAAGCATTAACAAATATATGGTCAGGATGTTCCTGTGAAAATGAGGAATTTTATCTCTGTTCTTCAGTTGGAAAAACTGAGACACAGATGTTAAACCTCTTACCCAAGACCCTAGAACAAGTGCATGTCAGAGCTGTAGTTAGAAATCAGGAACTTCTCGCTACCACTCTGTTTTTTAGACCACAAGATAGCTGGTTGTGCAGTTTTCTTTCTTGAGCTAAGTACTGGAACCGATTACATTATCAGGGATTTATTCATTGCAAAATTTAGCTCGCAAATATTTTTGAGCCAACCTCAAATTAATGCACTACTTGTTTGTTGATAGCATTAAACAACAAGTTTTTTATCTCAAAATCCTGCTAAACTAGAATTATAATGTTAATATTTAGGCTCGAGAAAATGTTTGTTTTACAGAAACATGACTACAATTCCATGAACATGAATACTACCATTATGATGGGTTCCCTTTCTAATATATTATCCACCACAAGAGGGCACATTCAGTCACTGCATAACTTACTCTAGAAGGTGAAATCCTGCCAACTTCTGTTACATTGTTTAAGTGACAGGTTTAAGTGAGGGATTGGAAATTTGGTATCCAAATACTTTGTCCTTTTTTGAATTGCTTCACACATAAGGCAAGCTTTAATAACACATTGTATGTGTGTATTGTTTTGTGATAAATTGGTAAATAGATTAAATTGTGAAGCAAAGTTAAATTGCTTATTGTTGCATCATATCTTTCTTAGACTCTCTATTGGGCATCAGTAGAAGAATCTATTCCTAAGTGGGAGCAGTTTCTTTTAGGAAGAGCACAAACACCTGTTGGTTTTAAGAAAAAGAAATCTACAAAGTATAACATAAGTCACCCAGAAGGAGCGGCACAAAGATAAAGAGAAAACAAAACAGAGACTACCATTTGACTTCAGTGGGCAAAATAATCCTGTCCAGACAACAGTGTGTCAGGCCACTAAATTTCAATTTCAATGTATGTATATGAAAACGAATAATGTTGGATGGGTTTTTTCCAGTTGTATCCGTGTTGAAGAGTTCCGCTAAACTGTAGTCTGCCAGCTCAAGGAGGCTCAGAATAACATTTCTCCTGGTGGGAGGAATAATCCTTTTTGAAAATGACTTTATAAGATCAGAAATTAAAGACACTGGTATGTGGAAGCCCACCAGTACATTTGCCTCTTTAAGATGACAAGAGTTTTAGGTTACGTATAATCCTTCACTTTTGTATTTTTAAGTATGTTGTATGTGAATCTACCTTTATTTTCTTGAACCTCCTTGGCCACCGGGGGCATTTACTCTGGGAAGGGCAGGCAATTTACACCAGGCTGTGGGGGAAGCTTTGGTTTATGGCTGGGATCCTCTATTATGAGCGCAGTGGTAAAGGGCACATATTTAGTTTGTATGTCCCCTGTTTTCCTGATCATGTCAGTGACACTGATTTTTTGGAGGGGCAGGGAAGGGGCTGTGTTGGTCTCACCCATAAGCAATTGCAATTTCTGTTCCATTAACCACTGCTGCACCCTCTTCCCCTGGCTGACTTCCCATAGTAGGTTCTGTGCCTGGTTTGCGAAAGCAGAAGCCAATGTGAATTTGGGTTGAATCCAGCCATGAAGTTCATTTTACAGACATTGAAGTAACAAACATTAGTATTATATTTTGGCAATGTTTCCTTTGTAGTTTTAAGTCATTGCTTTGTGTCACTTTCATTTTGTTAATGTAAGCCAGAGACATAATTTATGGATAAGGCCATGGGAGGTGGGGAAGAACCAGATAGAAAGCCAACCCAGGTGAGTGCCCAAAGATTACAGATACTGGAATAAGAAGGTGAGGAGCTTGCTTTCTATCTCAGATCAAGGACAGTTTCTCAGCCTCTGGCTACAAACATGGAAGGCCAGACAGTGTTTTTTTGCTTGCACATTGTTAACTATTTGTAGTCTCTAAGTGCCCAGGAGCCTTTGTCATGGACCAGGACCCCATTGTGCTAGGTGCTGTACAAACAGAACAAAAAGACAGTCCCTGCCCCAGATAGTTTACAGTCTGAGGCCAACCCCTTGGTAAATTACTGTGCCAGGGAGCCACTGTCCATTGCTTTCTAGTGTTTGCATATATTGAAGACCCAATTTAGAAATCCTTTCAAGTAAATGACTTAGAGGTCTTTGTGCTTTTTCACTCTTCCATAGCAAGGAAGGATGGTGGACTTTGGGAGTGGGGGTTTCCTCCAGAATTGGGACTCAAGTCAAGAAGATCAATAGAAACCAATTTCAATAAAGGGTGATTACTACTTCCCTAGTGCAAGAAGAATTCATGTACATGGTTATATGAAATGGGGCTATGCAAACCACTCCAGTCAGCTATAGGCTAACCAAATTAATTACTAGGAACTATTAGGAATGATGAGCCCTCACCCCCTTATTTTCTGTTAGGGGTTTGTCATCTGTCTGTGTCTGGTGGTAACCTTGTCCCTATATCTGATTTTTGTGTTATGGGTGGATGATCTAACAGCACCTTTCTTCTACTCCCTGACCAACCTGTACACAAGTATCACAGCTCTTTACACCGCTCCATAAGGAAGGTTCACCTTCCGAATTGTGCACCTAGAGCATTACAAGAATTTAATTAATCAAATAGGATTTAATTATCCAGTGCTGACTGGCTATTAGTGAGGAATTCATTGCCCCTCAGAATAGGGAGCAGCCTCTCCAGCTGGAGACCACAGGAAGTCTGAACAGTTTGCAAGGGCCAACACCTGCAGAAGCTATTTTCTGCTAGATCGGGCCCTTAGTTTGCTGAATTTAAATCACTCAAAGATTCACACAAAAAAAAAAAATCCTCCCCAGCTGCACTTTAAAATGATTTTACATGTTCAAAGTTTATATGAAACTTTTTCTATGTATGTGTCCATTAAACTGATAAGTTTTTACAGAAACTGCCATGTTAGAAATATCCTGTTGAGTGGGTGTTGGTGTTTGTAACAATAACGTTGTTTTCATAATATGTGATGGCAGATTAGCACGCTTCTCTGCAGTGTTGTTAACAGTTGTAATTAAGGAATAAACAGTAAAGGGTGTCAGTCCGATGACAATTCCATCTATAGTGTCACAATACAAAATGTCACAAAATATTAGAACTGTTATATAACTACAAAAATATCAAATTAGGCTTTCATCTTAGAAGCAGAAAGCTTAAAAAAAATTGGCATAGAGACTGTTGCAATTTTATACCTACTCATTGTTCTGTCACAAAGACAAATTGGTAATATTTTGTTCTGTAATCTTACAAAGTGATTCTCAGCCATACTGTTGATTTAACAGATTTTTAGTTCTGGAGCTCTGAAATTATAAATCCAGCCAGATGCAGGAGTGATAGAAAAGCAAGAGTTTTTATACTTCAAAGGGGAGCTTTTTGAAAGGCACAAATGAAGTTGGGTTCCCAAAGAGGAAGGATGAGTCAGTGGTTAGCTCACTAGCAAGAGACCTGGATTCAATTCCCTGCTCTGCCACAGACTTTCAGGGCAACATCCACAAAGGCATTTAGATAACTAATTGCATGTGCCCAACTTGAAAATTGAGATCCTTAAAACTTGTGGTTTTAAGGATCTCAAGCTGCTGCCCCACCCAGTAGGCTAAATGCCATGGGCGCTGAAGTTCCTGTTGGTGCTCAGGTGCAAATCCACCTTAAGTCCTGATGCCACCAAGCTGTTCAGCAAGCTCATGCCTAAGGTCCAGCAGGATTCACAAAGTAAGCAGTTCCCCTATCTTGCCTACAAGGCCCGAGCCGGTAGGAATTCCCAGAGTATGTCTACTCAGCAACTAGACATCCAGGTCTGGCCTGTGCCGACCTGGGTTTGTGGGGCTCCGGCAGCAGGGCTGTGCCACTGCTGGACTCAGGATGGAGCCTGGACTCGGGACCATGCAAGGTGGCAGTCTGAACCCCTTGAGTCCAAGTCACCTGGCATGGGCTAGCTGTAGGTTTTGCTGTGTACACGTACCCTCAGAGGCCCTCTTAGAAGCTCCCAATGAAAGAGAATGGAATTTAAGATCCTATCTCCCATTTGTACTTTTGAAAATCTCTCCCTGAGATTTGAAAATAATGAAGTAATATTCAACCACAGTGAAATTTATTTCTGTTTCAATTAATCTGAAAATGACAACTAAACACATGATGAAATTGTGAAATGTTGATTCAGGGAAAATATCACATTCCCCGACTTAGGGTGTCTGACTTTGGTAGTTAACAGCTGCAGATATTTTAACATTCATTTCTTTTAGTTAATTTCAATCAATTACAATCCAAAAGACCTAGTTTGGTTTAATTCAGTAAGGATTTTATAGTGTGCAGAATGTTGAAGCGTAAGTTGAAAACAATACTGATGATGCTAAACTCATCCTCCCTTTAGAGACTTAGGAAATGAAATTCCATATTGTTCAAAGGGTATGGCCTTGGGAGCAGCGAGGTACAGCTACTCTAGTGCATAAGGAAATATATCTATCCAATGCAGGAAAATACATAAGAACGGCCATACTGGGTCAGACCAAAGGTTCATCTAGCCCAGTATCCTGTCCTCTGACAGTGACCAATGGCAGGTGCTCCAAAGGGAATGAACAGACAGGTTATCATCAAGTGATCCATGCCCCGTCACCCAATCCCAGCTTCTGGCAAACAGAGGCTAGGGACACCATCCCTGCCCATCCTGGCTAATAGCCATTGATGGACCTATCCTCCATGAATTTATCTAGCTCCCTTTTGAACCCTGTTATAGTATTGTCCACCACAACATCCTCTGGCAAGGGGTTCCAGAGCTTGACAAGGTGTTGCGTGAAAAAATACTTTCTTGTGTGTGTTTTAAACCTGCTACCTCTTAATTTCATTTGGTGGCCCCTTGTTCCTGAATTATGAGAAGGAGTAAATAACACTTCCTTATTTACTTTCTCTATACCAGTCATGATTTTATAGACCTCTATCGTATCCCCCCTTAGTCATCTCTCTTCCAAGCTGAAAAGTCCCGGTCTTATTTATCTCTCCTCATACGGAAGCTGTTCTCTACCCCTAATAATTTTTGTTGCCCTTTTCTGAACCTTTTCCAATTCCAATATATCTTGTTTGAGATGGGGCGACCACATCTGCATGCAGTGTTCAAGGCAAAAGAGGGCATATCACTGCCTGCACCACTGTAACCCAGTGTGGTAAGAGATTAGCACATACAGTGATTGGATATGGACCCTGTGGAACAATAAAGGAAATGGGGCAGAGAGGCAAACCTCAGGGCATCTGAGATGAACAAATAGGGGTGATTCTCTCCCCTTCACTTGATCGCAGAGCTCAAGGCCTGTTGTCAGCACTGAGGACAATCATGCTGTCGCTCATGCAGCACTTAATAGACCTTGTCAACCACCCTAATATATTGCTAGGGTTACTGTTGGTCCTGTGTGCCTTAAGTTGCTGTGTATCTTGGCCCTAATTCAAGCCAGCCCTTGAATGTGTGCTTAACTTTAAGCATGTGCTTAAGTCTTACTGATTCCAGTGGGGTTTAAGCCTGTGCTTAAATTTGGTCCTGAATAGGGATGCTGTCCTCAGCCATGGTCACTATTTGGAACATATGATTCCAAGTAGTCAGCCACATCTCTGATCCCCCAGCATCTTTTTTTTTTAATTAGCCTATGTAGTTTCCTTTCAGTTCTTAAGTGCTTTTTTACTGAGCACATGCTGCCCTACATGCTGTTCTCTCAGGTTCTCCCTTCTTGTCCTTTTACTGCTAGTACTACAACTTAATCCACATAGTTCATGACAAGCTCCTGGCTGAAATATATTCTTAATTGAGAAAAGCAGTGGGAAAACAAATGACTTTACTGTGTGTGGATTAGCGCTTGTGTGTCTCATAAGAAGGAATACTGAATCACCTTATTTGTTAAGTTTATGCACTGATGAGTAACCATTGTACTAACCTAAGAACACTGCCTGATTCATACCCATGTCGTCACCTCCACCACCACATTTCCTTAGCCGTACACCTTCTTGATCACTGGGGGAGGCAGTGGAGTTAGGTATTTCTTTGGGATGAGAAATTCTTTATTCCTGAATACTTTCTCGAGCCTTTTGTTATTTTCCTATAAGATATTTATAAAATAAGAGTTTTTATTCATTTTTAGTTGCATTTCCCCCTTTGTATGGTATCCATAGTTGTTTATATTCAAGACCATATTTTCATAGAGGCTTTGAGCTAGATTCTACACCGGAGGCTGCAGTTTTACACACACGCTCGGGTGTGATGCTCAAACTGCTTTTGTGCATGCAATTCAAGTAGTTAGTTGTCAAAATGCTCCGTTTGAACTTCTGTGCATTAAACCACATTTTAAAATCTGACTGAAATTGAGTGTAATCTCAGAGGTTGCTTTTGAAAATGTAGCCCTTAAAAATTATTTACTACAAAACAAAAGTTTTTCAAATATTCATTTTATTTTAATAATTTAGTACTTATACAGCTAAGATACAAGATATTACTTAGCCTTAGAAATCCTCTGAAGATTTAAAGCTGTTATACCATTTTTAAATAGAGCGAACTAATTTCATAAATATGTTTTATGTCATCCAAAGACCAGATCCTTGGAAAACGTGTTTTTAAAGTTGCAGTAAGGAGTGATCCGCATGACACAATTACTTTTGGGTATTCTTGTGCTATGTCAGATGTATAGCTTACTGTAGGAAAGGGGCTATGCTGGTTCCAAAAGACCAGTATGGCAATCCCACTGATTTAATGGGAATTGTTTGAAATGCAGAGCAGTGCTGAGTTTGACCCAGTGAATACATGTACAAGAGACCAGCTGCAAAAAAAATTGCTTGTTTAAAATAACATTCCTTCTCCTGAGTTCTCATTTGACCCTGAATTGAAAGAGTTAAACAGCTGGATGGAGATCAGAATTTCAGAAGTTTATTGCTGAGAAATCCCATATTCTGCCAAACCTAAAGTGGAGGTGACCTATGGATTCACATTTTTGTTTCACAACAATGACACAATCAAGTATTTGATTATCTAAGGTATCATCTTACCAGCAAGATATGGATATGGATTTTTAAAATGCCTTTATGGAAGAGAGAGAGATGCAAGAAAATTCCTTTTTGGATCCTCCTGCAGTGTCACGTTTTTGTCTTCGCAGCATGTAGTACCATTTAAATTGGGAATTTGTTACTCTTTCAAAAACAATGGTAAAAAAGCTCTTGAGAATGCTATGACCTGCACCCAGGGCATATATAATCTTCTGGTTGTTTTTTGTGAGATCCTCATCACAGGAGTTTGTCACTGATCTATATTACATATGTATTAGTAATGAAATTAATCATTCCCTTCCATAACTTTTCACCCAGGAATTATGATTATCTTAAAAATTATTGGGTTTGTTCTTTCTCCTGATTCCTAACCATATCACTTACCAAAGGCCCCTATTTGAAAGGCCACTGAATACCAAGAAGTTTGTTTACATCATGCTCTTGAAAGAAATACAAGCCTCGCCAGATTTCATAAGATTGTTTTGTAAATATATTGTAAATTAATAAAAATAATTTTTATTCTCCTTTAAATAAATCACTGTTTCTTTGGTCAGTTTATAGCTTAAGCCCACAGTCAATGAGTACCTGTCAAATATACCCAGCTGTGCCACAAAACAGTTTTTGTTTTCAGGCTTATATTTCTATATCTGCAATTATTAGTGTGTATATGTTCCCAATAGCATCATTCAAAGCTCTTTGACTGTTGTGCTCTAATAGACTCTGGTGGCTAATTTGCTTAAGTGAATTGCATGCCTGCAGCTTTGTTTAAATTGCTATCCAAACTGCATGCTTCCCCTTGCTTTGGCCACAAAATATGTGTTTTTGCCTCTGCTCAAAGACTTTTCTTACAACAGAAGCAACTGGTTATCTGAGAAGATGGAATTGCTCTAAGTTAGACACATGAGGCTTAAGAAAGCCCAAAGCCAAGATGCTATAAAAGGAGCATTACGCCTTCATTTTTCTGGAGCTTTGAAATGAGACCGAGCAGGCTCATTGAAGGTCTAAACTATGGAACAAATAGGGGAATGTTTATATTTC